CCAGACCAATGAACTTATGCTCTAAAAGGGAATCAATTTAGTCAGGCATTCATGGATTATATTAAATACTTCACACAAGAAAAAGTACTAGTGCGACACATACACAGGTTAGAAATCAGATGAGAACCAAACAGAGACAAAAGTTAACAACAAGTTATACAGATCAGTCTCTATTATTTTCGAACAGCAGACAGGTGAATGCTGGAGCCTTTCTAGAGCAGGGTACCACTAGCATTGCCATTGGTAGTTGAACAGTTTCATGATCCTTAGTTTTGCAGATTGATTAAGATCCTTCCAAATCATGACTGAATGCCAGCATTTCAGGGTGAGAAAGAGAAAAAGGCGAAAGAGAAAAAAAGAAAAAAAAGAGAAAGAGAAAAAGAAGAAAAAAGAAAGAAAAAAGAAAAAAGGAAAAAAGAAGAAAGAAAAAAGAAGAAAGAAAAAAGAAAGAGAGAGAAGAAAAAAGAGAGAGAGACCTTTATACATCCTGTTGCCATTTGTCTGGTTGTTAACTAGTTGACTAGCACTCAGTTAGAAATGGTCTTTACCTGCAAAGCAGGGGTGAATAGTTTATCGACTGTGACCTTCAGAGCACGCTAACAATCAAACCAGAGGTGGTATACACAAGAATATTCACTCCCAGTAGATCACTAGAGTTGAAACTAGCTTTTAAAAACCTTGTCCTTGTGAATTTTTCAAGGGGGAGAAACAAAATTGTAGCTTGCAACAGACTCTGCAGGTGGTGGTTTGCTGTTCAACAAGAAATCACGAGCCCTTCGTTACCCATGTAGTCAAAAGAAATCACAATCCAGTCTGTTTTGACTCACAACCTCTTCTCTTTGAAGGGCTGTTGTCTAGAGTTCCTTTCACAATGCAGGTATGATATTCCTAGGCACACTCACTCGCTTCAGACAGACAGTCTGTCAATTTACATCCACAGCCACTTCTGGCAACATTTTCAAAGACAAAAATTTAAACCCTGGAATTTCAACTAAAAATGTCCTCAATACCTTGGGGATTTGACCTATGATCATGTCGAGACTCTGGGCAAATCTTGATTCTCTACTTTTCCCATTACCATCCTATGCCTTACACTATCATACCTCAGGAGATAGTAGGAACTACAGATGCTGGAGAATCTGAGACAACAAGGTGTAGAGCTGGATGAACACAGCAGGCCAAGCAGCATCAGAGGAGCAGGAAGGCTGACATTTCGGGCCTAGACCACGCCTTTCTGAAAAAGGGTCTAGACCCGAAACGTCAGCTTTCCTACTATCATACCTCTCCTGCCCTCTAACCAGCAGAGAGCTTCTTTTGTTCTTTCCTTCCTTTACCCCCTTTTCCTACCTTTGTACTTGCTTAACATGTCACAGCTTTTACTTTTAATCATAATTTTAAAAAAGTTAATCTAAGTGAATTAATTTTACGACATGAAAAATATTCAACATTTTAGACTCAATCATACAGCACAGAAACAGATCTTATAGTGCAACTCATTCATGCTGACCAAGTTTCCCCCAAACTAAACTAGTCCCACTTGCCTGTGCTTGGCCCATATTCCTCTAAATCTTTATTATTCATGTACCTGTCTGAATTTTTTATTAAATATTGTAACTGTACCTACATCTACCACTTCCTCTGGCAGATCAGAGGATGGTTTGTATGTGGAATGAAAAAGTTGCCCCTCAAGCCCCTTTTAAATCTTTCTCATCTCATTAAAAATATGCCCCCTAGTTTTTCTGAAGGGCCCCAACCAGAAACGTCAACTTTCCTGCTCCTCTGATGCTGCCTGGCCCACTGTGCTCCTCCAGCTCCACTGTTACCCCCTAGTTTTGAACTCCCCCATCCTAGGGAAAAAAGATTATTGCTATTCACCTTATCTATGCTCCTTATGATTTTATAAACCTCTATAAAAGGTCACCCCCTCAACCTCCTACACCCCAGTGAAAAAACTCCCAGCCTATCCAGCCACTCCTTATAAGTTAAACCCTCCATTCCCAGCAACATCGTGGTAAATCTTTTCTGAACCCTCTCCATTTAATAACATCCTTCCTATGCAGGGCAACCAGAACTGTACACAGTACTCCAAAAGTGGCCTCACCAACATCCTGTACAATCTCAACATGACATTCCAACTCCCATGCTCAAAAGTCTGAACAATGAAGGCAACATGCTAAATGCCTTGTTGACCACCCTGTCTACCTATGACAACTTCCAAAGAAATATGTACCTGAATATGTCTCTGTCCAAGAACACCATGCAGGGTTCAACCATTAACTGTATAAGCCCTACCCTTATTTGCCATTACCAAAATGCAAAACTTTGCATTTATCCAAATTAAACTCCATCTGCCACTCCACAACCCGTTGGTCCAATTGATCAAGATCCCTCTGTAATCTTAGATAACCTCCTTCACTGTTGACTATACCGCCAATTTTAGTCATCCACAAACTTACTAACCATGTCTCCCAAATTTTCATTCAAATCGTTTATATAAATAACAAACAAAGTCGACCCAACACTGATCTCTCTAGAACACCACTGGTCAAAGGCCTCCAATCCGAAAAACAACCCTCTACCACCACCGTCTCCTACCATAAAATCAATTTTGTACTTAATTGGCAAATTTTCCCTGAATTCCCATGTGATCTAACTTTATTAATCAGTCTACCATATGAAACCTTATCAAACACTTTACTAAAGCGCACACAGATAACATTGACCACTCTGCCCTCAATCTTTTTGGTTACATCCTCAAAAAAACTCAATCAAGTTTGTGACGTGCAATTTCCCATGCCCAAAAACAGACTGACAATCACTAATCAGTCCCCACCTCTCCAAATGCATGTAAATCCTATCTCAGAATCCCCTCCAACAACTTACCCACCCTGGATGTCAGAATCACGAATCTATGGTTCCCAGGCATCTCCTGGCAGCAAGGCACATTAGACATCCTCTAGTGCCCATGGCTGTTGATGATGCAAATATCTCCGGTAGGGACCCCACAAATTTCTTCCTTGACTTCCAAAAATGTTCTCGGATACACGTGATCAGGCCCTGGAGATTTATCCACCTTTATATTTTTGTGCCTCCAGAACCTCCTCTTCTGTAACAGACTGTTTTTGAGACATTAATATTTATTTCCGAACAATGAAGCCTCCATGGCTTTCTCCACAGTAAATATGGAGATGAAATATTTGTTTAGTACCTCTCCCATCTCCTGTGATTCCACACATGGATGACCTCATTGATCTTTAAAGGGGTCCTATTCTCTCTTTAGTTTCTCTTAAATGTACTTGTACAATCTTTCTGGATTATCTTTAGCCTTGGCAGATAATGTTACCTCATGTCCTCTTTTTGCCCTCCTGACAATGTCCTTACAACCCCTGTACTCTTCAAGTGAGAGTCACTTAATACCAGTTGTCTTTAATTAACATATGCCTGCTCCTCATTCTTGACCCGGGCCTCCCTTTATTCATTCATTGTTCCTTACTCTTACCAGCCTTACCCTTCACTCTAAGAGGTACATAATACCTCTGAACTCTTGTTATCTCATTTGTGAAAGCCTCCCATTTGCCAGTCATTCCTTTACCTGCGAACAGTCCACTGAAATCAACTGTTGAAAGTTCCTGGCTCATACCATCAAAATTTGCCTTACTCCGATTAAGAGTTTTAACTTTAATACAAGGCCTGTCCTTTTCCATCACTATTTTAAAACCAATAGAATTATGATCACTGGTCCCAAAGTGCTCCCCCGCTAACTTCAGTCACTTGCCCTACTTTGTTTACCAGAAGAAGGAGAAGTTTTGCTTCTTCTCTAGTAGGTACATTTAACACATTCAACAAAATTCCTCATTATCCAAGCCCTCAAGACTATGGCAGTCCTAGTCTATATTTGGAAAGTTAAAATCCCCTATTACAACTCTATTATTCTTACATAGATCAGAGATCTCTTTACATATTTGCTCCTTAGTTTGCCACTGACTATTAGGGTGTCTGTGGTACAATCCCATCAAGGTGATCATCCCCTTCTGGAGTTCCACCCATATAACTTCACTGGGCATTTCTCAGAAATATCTTAAGTAGAGCAGTAATGTTTTCCCTAACCAAAAATGCCACTCCTCCCCTCTCCTCTATTGCTTCCGTTTCTATCCTTCCTATAGCATCTAAACTCCGGCACACTGAGCTGCCAATCCTTTCCCCCCTGCAGCCATGTTTCTGCAATAGCTATTGTGACCCAGTTCCATATTTCCATACGTGCCCCGAGTTAATCTGCCTTACGTGCAGACCCTTTGCACTGAAATAAATGCAGTTTAATTCTTCAGAGCTACCTCGTTCTCGGACTTGGTCTTACCTGCCTTGTCTAAATAACTTGCTCTCTGGCTTTCAAACTGTCCCCATCTGTCTCTATTCTCACTACTTCTTAGGAATTCCCCCCCTCATCCTGCCCCTTTACTAGTTTAAAGGCTCCCAAATAGAATTAGCAAATCTCCCTGCTAGGATATTGCCACCGACACCTCCCCCACCCAATCTTCAGCTCAGGAGAAACCAATCTGTTGTTTTTCCTCGACATCTGCAGTTCCTACTATCTCTGTTGTTTTGAACAGGTCTCTTCTGCCCAAAAAACAGATCCCAATGATCCAAAAATTTGAATCCTTGCCCACTGCACTGTCTCCTCAGCCACTGATTTATCTGCCCTATCTTCTTATTCCAACCCTCAGTAGCACATGGCACCAAAGAGTAATCCATTTTCTGTTTTTTTCAAGACATATGTGCGTAATTTTGCAGCAAGCAAACCAAAGCAGCCTATTTCACTTCTCTTTTGATTGGTAGTTTTTGGTGACTTAGAAATTCCTGGTGCCTTAAATCAAATTAGCACCAAGTAGGAGGTGGATTCTTGTAGCCTTCCAGAAAACAAGTACTCCCCTGAAGAGTGATCACATGAAACCGTCATGAATAACTCAATTAATATTCTTTTGCCACTAGAAAAATGAATTCACCTTTTCTTGATATAGTTTATGAAGCCAGGCGGCACATTCATTTTCATCTTCAGGAATGTCTTCTAATGGGATTCGTCTGCAGATTGAAGAGCATCAAAACATTTTAAACAATAAAAAAAACAAAAACATTCTTACTAGATATATCTATATTCATACTACATATATCTGAAACAATTACCATCGAGTCTCCTTCCATTTATAACCTATAAACAAACCATCTAGTGCAGAGAGTTCTAATATAGTTAACAAAAATACACATATGGGCAGCACAGTGGCTCACTTGTCAGCAGTACCAGGGACCATTGTTCAATTCTACTCTTGGGTGACTGCCCGTGTGGAGTTTGTACATTCTTTTCATGTCTGTGTGGATTTTTTTCCCAGGTGCTCTGGATTTCTCCCACAGTCCAGGGATGCGTTGGTTGGGTGGACTAGCTATAGAAAATGTAGGGTTACAGGGATAGGGTAGGAGGTTGGATCTGGGTGGGATGCTCTTGGGAGGGTCGGTGTGGACTCAATGAGCCAAGTGGCCTGCTTCTACACTAAGATTGTATTTTAAGCAAGGACTAAACCAAAAGACTAGAGCACAGTTTTGCTGAAGTGTGAACAGATTTCTTTTTCAAAATCAACTCAGATAATCTTGGAACCTAGAGGACATTTTGATCAGTTTCAATAGCCTAATTTTACTGAATCCCCCATTAAAAAAAAAAAAATCAGTGGCAACAAGTTGACAAACAAACAAACAAACAAACAAACAAACACAAACAGTGGAGTTGGGGAAAGGCAAAAAAAAATCTAAATGCATAAGGAGCCACTGCCAGTGAAATCACCAACTCTGTCAGATTAAAAGTAATCTTAACAAGAACATCCATCAGTTGATGTCTAGGCTCAGCCAGGAAATTGTATTTCATGAGACAAAAAAGGCCCTCACAAGAATAGACCCCATTCAAACAGTGCTGCATTTAACAAATATTATTTCGATTTGGATTGGGGTGGGGGTGGGGGGTGGGGAAGAGGAGTGTGGAAAAATATGAGGAAGGACTTATTCCCTTCAGGAGCCCTGACAATCTCACTCACTCACCCAACATCCTGCAATCTAAAATTCTGCATGCCTCCTACTGACACAGAACAACTCACTATACTATCCCACCACCTCCCCCCCCTTACCCTGTACCAGCACTAACAACTACGTCACCCACTTTCACCGCCTTCAACCCTTCTATTTCTCATATCACTAAAAAAAATGTATAACAGGGCTAAAAGAGCCAGGGTGCTGATAGACGTATTCATCTCCTGACCACGTACAAGGACAGGATTCTGGCCCTTGCAAATGAAGGCTGGAACCCTATTGTGGGGAAGCTAAAAGGTTCTGAGTCCCAGCAACTGGGTACAAAGCCTTAATAAAAACTGAAAGGGCTGCAGATGCTGTAAATCAGGAACAAAAACAAAGTAGCTGGAAACAAAAGTAGCTGGAAAAAGCAACAGTTCTGAGGAAGGGTCACCAGACCCAAAACATTAACTCTGATTTTTTCTTCACAGATGCTGCCAGATGTGCTGAGCTTTTCCAGCAACTTTGGTTTACTGTGTAAATTACTGCTTACTCCCATCACCCCCGGAGAATTTAATCTACCACTTAGTTGTGACATTATCTTTAGTCTTCCGCAGGTACCGGTGAGATATCCACTGCTCTGTGGTCAGAGTCACCCTACAAAACATGCCCTCCTCCCCCTCAAAAAGGATGAAAGCCCAGACGGTGAAGTGCTAGCAAGGATGCCTTCTGAACTTCCCATCAGCTCAGATACTTACACTCATGTATCTTATCAAGATTAGAGTTAATAGCATCTGCAAATGAGTACATCACTGCCTTGTCTACACAGCTGGCTGGGAAAGAAACATCTCAGGTTGCTGGCACTCAGAGGTTTGCTGGACACCAAGCACCTACTCAGTTCTAGGCAGAAAAGGACCCCGTGGTGTGGGAAATTCAGGATTGAAAGCAGATACAGGATCAATAGACAGACTTGTTGGGGACACTGGGCAACCTAACACGACTGAAGCAACACACTTAGGACCCTGCTACCTCAGGCATGCAAGCAGCTGGCTGCTTCCATGGCCAGGTTAACAGCTGCTACAGACAGCCAAGTCCAGCACTTAGTGTATTCAACAGACCTCTATTGTATAGTCATATCACTGGTGGTCAACAACCAACATCAAGGTGACAGAGGAAAAGAGGGAATCAGACCTGAACTCCAGGTTCTCCTTCCCCACATGGAGGCAGGCAGTGCCAGTAGGCATCCAGCTGGAGAAGGAACCTTACATTTCTATTACTCCTCTCAGGACACTCCAGATGTGCGTTCCATCTCCACCCTACCTGGCACTCAGTCATATGCAAGTTACAGCTAAGGAAGATATACCCGCATCTGAGCGGGACATAGCCATGATATTTCAGCCCCTTTGCCGTAAATGCTCCTGGGGTTACTCAAACAAAGCTCTAAACCCAACAGGTTCCACTGTAGGGCAGGCACCCTTCATCTCAGCTGTGGAACCCAGAAACATACAGTTTAAAAGGAACAGAAGACGACGACAACCTGAGGGCATTCAGATGACATAGGTAAGGTAATAAATTTTCATGTTGCTAACTATGATCACTTTACACCATCAGCTGTGTGAGAATCTGTCTAACCACAACAACAGCATAATACTGAGTTCACTCATGCTTAGTACATGATATTTCATTGATCCAGGTGCGAAGTGACCTGCTCCTGCAGGCAAGGTAATTGCTATTTAGCAACTAGGTTTCATCTTTCCAGACAGGCAACCAGCTACTGCATCATTAGTATTAGTGGAATTAATTTGCCATCCTGTGTGCTATGTTGAGGAATGCTTGGGCAAGGATTGGAACTGCCCACAGTAGGGCAAAGATTCACAAGGCTCATATGGCTCATTTTCAGCTTCAGCTGGTGTGTGTCTACATAATGGTATTGTCCTTTAAAATGCCTGACATTGGGAGGGAGGGGCTTTGATTTTGATCAGAATGAAGCACTCCACTCCACCCACTCCAAGTGGGATCAGCTATTTCCTTTCCATTACGTGTTATTTACAGCATGATGAAAAGGTAACAGCGGTCACTCCTTGGACAGTGAATCTTAGGCTTAGTTTCTTAAATCTTCATGAATCCCTAAATGTACACGTCCTTCATAGTAGTGCTCCCCGTCAAAACTATATGCTTTGCACTTCCCCAAATGCCACCCCCCAACTCATCTTCACCAGTCCATTATAATCCCCAGCCCTGAGCATATCAAGTAAATATGCCAGTAGTAGCGAGTAGAACGCTGGTCACTCATGGAAGCCAAAACATGCTGCTTATAGTTAGTGCCCAGCCTCATTTCCCCCTCTTCAAAATGACCCTTTTCCTTTCCATACCAAAATCATCCCTAATTTCTTTTTTTTTCTTTTCTTTTTTTTTTTTAAGAAAAAAAAAATTCCTTCAGTATTGCGATCCCCTTTTCATTCGAGGATTCCAATTCCAGTCCCCACAATTGAATTTCCCAGCATCTCTCCAAGCACTGGCTCCATCCTGATTTTTAGTTAGTAGACCCCTAGGGCTGATCATGGCCTAGCCACAAGTGACTTAGCTAGGCAGCCCTGAACAATGAGCAACCAGATTGACTGATATTTGTGCAGCGCTCAGTGTGGCTACGACTCCTCAGACTGGTTATGCTAGATCCAGTAACCCACTCCCTGGACAAGAGGTACAGACCTACTGACCATCCCAAGGACTGATATCAGAAGGTACCTGTGACTTATTGTGCCAGGACCCCAACCAAAGGGCATCCCAATTGAGTTATGAATATTCAAACAAAGAACAGCAGCAACTTCAAGCCTACTCCACCATTCATTAAGATCATGGCTGCACTGGTTTTAACCTCAACTCAACATTCCCGCATACCAGAATAATCTTTCATCCCCTTGGTTATCAAGAACCTACCTCTGTAGAAGGCAGGAAATTCCAAAGACACTCAATCCTCAAAAATAAAAAAAAAAGCTTCATCGGTTTTAAACGGCCACTCCCTTATTTTTAAACTATGACCTCTAGTTCTTGATTCACCCACATGAAGAAACATCTTTTTCACATCCACCCAGTCAAGTCCCCTCAGAATCTGGTTTCAGTCAAATCACCTGACTAAATTCCTGAGGATACAGGCCTAGCTTGTCTAGCTTTTCCTCATACTTGGCATTCATACTTTCCTCAGATTGGTCTGAGGACTATTCCCTTTAGACTTTCAGGCAATACCACTGTTGATGCACACAAAGATGCACGTGACTGTGTTGTGCCCATGCAAGGTTGGCACAGCCCTTTGCCACTTAGCAAATCATCCACTCTTGAGGGCTGGTAGATGCAGGTACAGTTACAGTTACAATTAGAAGACATTTGGATAAGTTCATGAATAGGAAAGATTTGGAGGGATACAGGCCAAGCGCAGGCAGATATTACTGGTTTAGTTTAAGAACATGGTCGGCGTGGACTTGTTAGACCAAAGGGTCTGTTTCAATGTTTAATGACTACGACTGTTGTCAAGTATGACAAACTGCTCGATTTTGTCTGCACTAAACTGCAGGATTAGTCAGAAGTATGGTTAGCCTTTAGGGCACAGCTGAGGGGCAAAGTACAGAACAGGAGAGAAGAAATACAGTATGAATTCACTGGCGATATGCCAGATGCCAGTGTATGTGGATATGGGTGTGCCCCAAGATGTTGGTGCTGGGTGTTCGAGATATAGGCCCAGAGGAGCAACCCAGAGTCTTTAGGAACCTGCTGCAACTATCATGTTGGGAGTTCTCAATCTTGTGTCCATCTAGTGGTTGGGAGGATGGGAACCTACATAATCAAATAAGGCAAGATTAGGTAGCAAGGATCACGTCTCAACCTCCAGGAATTGGATGATATCAAGCTTGCATTTTCCAATGTCAAACAAGGTCTCATTCAACATTGGATCACTGAATCCCTACGGTATGGAAGCAGGCCATTCGGCTCATTGGAGGGTTGGTTTGAATCAAAGAGCATCCCACCCTACCCCAGCCTTGTAACCCAGCATTTTC